AAAATACAACGAAACTAAGCACTGTATTTTACTATGCACTTGCACTATCATAAGGCGGGGGCACTTCGAAATTTCCAGCAATCTACCAGCTGAGACATTTCTTTTGGTCCTCAGGAGATTGTCACAGGCAGAGGTTTATGTTCAGTAATTTTCACAGATAATACACAGTCGTTTAAGCGAGCTGATATTGTTCTCAGAAAAATGTGGAGAATAAATCAACCACCCAAATGTTAAGAACTTTTATGCCTAGTATGAAATCAAGTGGAGATACATTGTTGAAAAAGCAACAAGGTGGGGCGGGTTTACGAAAGACTTATACGCTGTGTGGCTTTATGCAAAACTTCTTTGAGTCTTGAAGAATTAGAGACATTGCTTGTAGAAACCGAAGCTGTTCTAAATAAAAGACCCACCGCTTTTGTTTATGCAGATCTTAGGACCCCAGGCCACTTCATTTTAAGAAAATGACCTCTGAACTTATTTGCAATTAAATTATCGGGAGAAATCCTTAAAGGTGACATTAGTGAAAAGATTCAACTATCCAGAGACTACTTCAGGCTATTTTTGTCAAAGGTGGCATAACGAATATTTGTAAATTTTTAAATTAGCAAATCCCATTAATTCCTTAACAAATCTGACAAATTCAAAACCGGTGACATTGTGATTATGCAAGATGACAAATTACCGCGAAATTTATGGAAACTTGTTAGAAATATCAAAACATTTCCTGATAGAGATACAATCTACAAATCCCAAATTGATATTGTTATGAATTTTGTACATATATAAAGAATTTTATTGAAATTTTATGTGAAACTGTAGTATCTTTTGTATAATGTAACATGAAATGCCTCAAGAGACGAAGCTCTTTCGCAAAAATCAGATCTGTTTAACATTGTTACCTACCTCGCTAAATTGGCAAGATATCGCCAAGCTAGCCATGGTTTTAACGACTAATTTTTGTGTCCCCATTTGACGACAAATCGCCAAAAATCTCAAGACATTGTGGCTAGTAAGCGATACTTTGGTCTCCTCCCTGTATAACTGTAATAGGCATTATAATTGATCCCTATATATAATTGTAATCGTATCTGTTCCTTAAATTTAATTTTAACCGTGTGAGCCTTTGAGTAATTTTGTAGAATGGAAGATACTAGAGAGTTCTCAGCAGCCGGAAGGAAAGCTATGTGAGACCGGAGAGAGCAACAGTTGTCAGTTTTTTAGATCAGAATAGACATCGAAGTACTGAAACATCTTGCAAGATGCGCTTTACATTGCATTGTGTTTAATGTTCTCAGTAGTTGGATTTGGTAACTATTAATTGTGCCCCTCTTATACTGAGAGGAGCTGTTTGTACTTTTATGGAAAGCTCCAGAACTGTAAAGTGTCTCCTTTGAGAAAAGTCGGTACTATGTGCATTCATACCATTACGAACCCACACGCACGCAACAACTTTCGGTGTCAGAAAGGGGATTAAACGCCGGTGGCAACAGTGATGGATGAGCAACTACGACAGCTGGTGCCAGCTCTGAATTAAAAGAAAAGGTGGAAGATTCGATCAAGTCCGTTAAGGAACAGACGAATGCGGGCCAAGAATCCGCTAAAGAAGAAACAAAAGTTGTTAATGGACCAGAAGGAGTCAGCGAGTCCAAAAATGCCCAATACTGTTTTGTAGTAGGATTATAGATCGAAATGTCCTGTCAGGACGTGCAAACGAGAAAAACCACGTAGCATTTCGCTTCGACCCTGGAAGAATGCCGGCAGTTTTCTGAGCAGAATATTCTAGGCAGGAAGTCGGCATTTCCATATGAAGATCCTTTCCAATAACGAATGGTTATTTCATATTCTTACATCTCTACATCCATCTAACTACGGCATGCGTAACTTACCCGACCCAAGGCTAGACAAAATTAAGTTAGTCATAAAAAAAGATTTTATTTTATAAATTCTAATGCTTCAGAAATTAAATGTCCGGTAAAATTTACATATCCCAAACATTTTGCTAGTTATTAATGGTCATCTATATCCTCTGTTTTAAATTTATTTTAATAATCAATTTAAATTTACTCCACCATCCCACCTTTACCTTTGAGATGATCGTCAACTTAGAGGTAACCGGTGATCATGACCTTGACTGGTACCGCTGTTATTTAAATAATTTTAAAATTTAGTTTAAATTTACTGCGTCGCTCCAAATATTAACCAACCGCATCGATCTTTACATTTGGTTTAATTTATTTTAGTAATCTATCTAATTAATATAACTTCAAATAAATTTAATTTGTAACATTTACAACTGATAATTTTCACGAACTTTTACAGCATTATTTTAAATTCAATAATTTTTCTAACATAATCTAAAATACGCCTGGTATAAAATGTTTTGATCTGTTTTTCAACGTTTTGTTAGCGTTTTCAAGTTCTCAATTGTTTTGCTATAGTTGACAGTGATTGTGAAGGTAGGCTCCTTCTGAAAATCCAATCAGCCACAAAGAATAAATAAAGCAGAACACAAGAACGCAAGTACACTTGACCTACCTTCAGTGAGAGAAAAGGACTGTAAATAACACTGGCCGAGATCTGTAAGAAAAACAACGACAACTTTCTTTGCACCGTGACGTTAGTTGGAGACAGTAAAAAATAAAGGACGCGAAAGTTTTTATTTTCACAGGTGCAGCGGAACGGTCACTGGTCCAATGTCCTGGAAGTAAAATCTACTCCTAGAATCGCTGAGGCGAACCCAAAGATGCTGACTGATAATTATTATCAATATTGTCGTGAAGGAAGGTATCAAGTTTTAAAAGCTGTGAAACCGTATTCTTATCTTCCTTGTTTTATTATTATTTCTCGAACTTAAAATGCGCACGTTTAGATCTTTTTTTCATTACAAAAATAGTATTACCTATCTTCATGATATATTTTACATCTGTTTAGTAATTATCGCACCACATTTTTTTGCAGTCTGATAATTGACTTTTATGTGATAAACGATGTCAATTATAGTATACAGTTTTGCTTAACTAATTAGTTTAGAAGTTCATGCGAAAAGTAGAATTAATTATATTTTTAACACAAAATGCCTTATTTGCAATACATCTTTTTTCTCAGAATTTGCAATTTGTTCATCTTTCTTGACTATGTGTAATAAATTATAATCATATTAATTTCTACCTTCTAATATCTATGTAATCTATAAGATACGCTTTAGACATTAACAAAGATTATACCAGAGCAAGTATAGCAAGAATTTGATTGTCGCTTTTCCCTTCATTGTTTGCATACCTAAAAAAAGCGACTTAAAACGATAGATTGGCAGACTTCCTTTCATTTCATTAATTACCCCTCAATTTGTATAATAAGATCATTTTGAGTAACACAGTGTTATTTAAGTTCATTCAACTATGGATTTTGCATCTAAGGAAAAAAAAAAAGTTTAAATTTTATGGTCTGTATTTTATTTAAGACTAAATAAATGCCAGAATCACTGCTATAATATTTGTATTGTAATTTGGTTTTAATTCTGTGTAATTGTGTCTCTGGTTTCGTTATTTAATATTAATTGTGTTAATTTATGGTGTAGTTTTACGTAATCGTTGGTGTGTAGTCATGTATCTAATATATATTTAATTTCTTTGTTATTTTGTAGCACTTAAAATTTTTAGTGAGTTAATAGATTATGGAACTGTGAAAATAATTTTAACGGAATTGAAGATATAATCTGTTGATGCCTTTGCAAAACTTTATATCGCTAGCTTCGAGAAATTTCGAAAGATTCATAAAATTACATTGTTCGACATCCTAGGATGGATTTTTGTTGAAGGTTCTTGCAGTGACCAATCGCTATTTTGACTACGGTATAAATAAAAGGCTGAAAAAAGTCGTCAGTAAGTTGGGGCTCATACATCATGACTGAGAGACTCAATTTACCTAAGACTAATGGGTTTCTTCGTTCACTGCTTAAGGATTTTATTTAGTCCATGAATTCTACCAGCGATTTCGTATTTTTATTATGTATTTGCAACTCTTACGTTTGATGGATTTTTGACGGCAACGGTTTGATGGATTTTTGACTGCATTTTAAGATCGGATTCGTGATATCCATTTCTGTTTAAAACAGAATTACACTATTGTCATATGTTCCTAAATGGGCTATTTTATCTAATAGTTTTTATTTGCGTAAGATATTTTTTCTTGGAATTGCAATAAAGGGTCAATTTTTCCTCTGTTCATCTGGACTGGTTATTTAGGAGAGCTCTACAAATCCTAACACGTAACAATATTGTTTTACAAACAACACAGCCTGTTGTTTGTGCCCACATTATGATGCATGTTTTTGCATGTTCAAAGACATTAAGCTTATTTAGTCTTCCTTTTGCGTCTTCAAATAGATGGACTACAGTTTGCTTATTATCTTATGCCGATGGACTGTAACATCCTCGAAAGAGGTAAGTTAAGCAAAATAATCACCGACTGAATCTCCACAATGAGATGAATCAAGCAATGGCTTAACATGCCACTGATTGCTGTTGTAAAACCATTAGTTCCATTTAAAAATATTGATAAATGAGCGTAAAGAAATTCTCAGTTCTATTCGGATACTGAACCCGGAATGTGACATTCAACCTTGCAACAATTTGCCATTACTTCCATGTCTGTCCGAAGGATTTTCCCTTAACGGTTTCAAAGGTTTGATCGCATGCTTATAATATATCTCCGGCACGCGAGAAAATTAGCTCTATGAACAGTGTCAATTCCAATCCATGAATTTCTTTCTCATTCACAGTATCGAACCCTCTAAAGAAACTAACAAAACGAAACACACGCGAAACGTTAGCCATCCGTGTAACCTAGACTATGTAAGTCAGTGGGATGCGCTTTCGATGAAATTTTTCATCTTTCAGTTGCCAATTATACGCAAGATAACTTTCGCCGTTTTCCTCAAAGAGAAATTTCCAAACATGTGGCGTCCATCCAAGTCTTAGTTTGGCATCTGACGTCACTGTAAGAAGACACGCGAGCAAAATGTCGAGATATATTGTGATATGAGAGGGGTATATAACTAACAGGAATATTTTCTTTGATTCTCATAAAATGACCAGAGGACACCTTCGAATCAAGGTGAGTGTGAAATAAGATCTTTTATGGTGTTGAACATATGTGGTCTCCCAGTTAATGATTTATCAAGTAACAGAATAATGATGAATGTGATTAACCAGTGATTACTTTAGAAAAGTCAACGAAATTTAACAATTAATTTAAGATTTAAACATTTTAAGAAGATTTTTAATACATAATTTGGATAGGTTGAATTTTAATACAGTCCTGTATGGTATGAATTGACTTACGCACTGCCGGTTCATGAATATTTTGCCTCAACAGTCTTAAGATTGTGATTGAATCTGAATGAAGTATCAGTTACAAACACAGAGAATGAGAAAAACTAGTTTAACTTTGTTTATTTGTCTGTTTTATAAAATTTACTGCATCGTTAGGTCTAGGTTTTGAGTGCAAGAATATGTAAAATTCTCCCTAATTTTAATATTAATTGCGCATGTTAAACATTTGAGATTTAATGGTGAGTATTAAAATAATACCCTTCATTTGAGTAACAAAAATAAAGTCATATATTTGGAAAATATTTCCATTTTGGTGAATTTCTTTTTTACATCACCAAAAATAACCTAATATATTTCCTTCAAAATTCAAACGAATTTTAAAAAAAAATTTGGCATTTTATTTTAATGTATTTGAACAAAACACATTGAATCTGGACTACTTTTATAGCTTAATAAACAATCCTAAGAAAACCCATTCATACTTTTATTATACTTTACTATATGTTATTTGTAAGACTTTTACATTTTTTTATATTTTTATTCATAAGGGTATTTATTTCTGTAAATTTTGCTACAGCAATAAGTCTAGAATGTATGTGTTTTCTGATTTTACAGTGAAAATCTAAAACATTTAACATCTGACTTCTCGGTTTAAAATTTATACCTGAATAATATTGAATACTTATAAAGTATTTCTCCCGCCTTCTTGACATGCCTTCGTGGTGGGGTGGTCTGCACGCTGGGCGTGGTCTAGAGGTCCGCGGTTCGATTCCCGGCGAAGGCGTTACTAGTTTTTCATATCTCCTGCTTCCTATAAATGCCTAATGTCTCTACATACTAAGAATAAGGTATAGGTTTTTATATTAATCAAAAAACATATAAATTCTAAACTTATTGCTGTAGTAAAATTTGTACAAACAAATGACATTATAAATATAAATATAGTAAAACTCCTGTAAACAACATCTAGTAAAGTAATATAATTAAAGTGTGAATAACTTCTCTTATCAATCCGCTTTTTTAGATTTTTAATTGAAATACTCTCATTTTTCTGTCACGAAAAATAAACAAACACCTTTTCCTCAAAGTTCGTGAAATGTAATTTATATAACATGCACTTGTCTACTTTAATAAGCAATCGAAAAAAATATGACATGACACAAAACAAAATGAAAAAAGACTGATGAATTTATTTTAAATTATTGTATGCTGTTCATAACTGTTGCATTTTTTATATTCATTTATATTTTATTTGCATAACTTTAATACCTGAAAATATTACATGTATAACAGATATTAGTTTCGCTGAAGATAAAATTCGGTTTTATGATAGAAGGATAAGGGCATACCCTAATATTAGTATTTTAACTATTATAATTTGGAGAAAATTGTTGGGACTTTAAAATTTACATGGCATTTAATACACCTTAAAAAGGTAACTGCTTTGAGAACACACAAAAATAGAGATCAGAGATCACTTATTTAATCTGATAACGTAAAAATTATTTTGAGACTGTCTCCAGCTTCCAGCTCTATCAACACAGTGAACTGTCGGAAACTTTTCAGTATTTTTCTCGCACTGTGCTCTCTCCAAATGACAAATTAAATGGTATTTTTATCCTAGTATACTAATAATATTTATCCTAAAATTCGTTAAATTAATAATGTAACTAATTTCTGAAACAGTTTCGTAGGTGAACCTGAAATCTCCATTTCTATTATTGAAGAAAATTTCTCACTTTCGAGTAATTGAAATGAGACTGCAAAAATTGCACAGAACTGAATCTTTTGCTTGGACTGGAAGTACGTTTTTACCACGAATTGCTGCCATTTTACCAAAAGGTATTGACTTTCTCAATAGAGTTATTAGCTAGAAAATCAAGCTAGGAGGAATAGAGTGGTACTTAATGGATCTTACCTCTCCTGAGAGGACTGAAACAGTGTTTCGTAAATAAATCTCCGTAACGCAGCATTCCAGATGTAATCCAGGGCTTCAGATAAATACAACAATCTGAAAATAATGTGAGCTAGTTTACCGTATAGGCTTTGGGAGCATACCGTCATTTTTCCAGCATTCATTTTTAGGCAGAATCTTTTGGTTACTACCGTTCTGGATAAAATGGTGGAGTACTCAGGTTATCTGATTATCTCACCTATGAGTTCAATCTTTGAAATCTTTTTGAGGAAAAAAATTCAGAATCATTCTATATTCGTTCTGGTTCTTCAAAATTACTATTATTCCTGCCGATCTAAAGTGTATATACCGTGTTTACACTCAAATCAGATAAAAATCAGATATGCTCTCTGATTTTTATGAGAACTGTGGCAACAACTATTCCAACTAGATGAACACGATGTACGAGAACTTGCCCTATTAACAAGTATTTATTTTATTAGCCTTGGGTTCTATTAATTATCGTTGTTCTCCATTTAGCATTACGAAATGTCAACTAATATTTTTTGTGATACATAAGTAAATGAAACAAATAATCAGTTTGAGTATTCCCACGGAAATTAAAATATGCAATCAAAAGTCTACTCTAAAAAAGCTTTTCTTCAACTAGATGCCTCAAAAACGTCCTGTACTATAGTCTGTTACGACCCTTCCCTCATTTATGCTCATAACATGTGTTGTCTTCACCGAAAATACTGAGAATTTAGAATTAGCAAATTAGATTTGACCTTCTTTTCGCAGCATTCCTTGTTGTTTGAACGGAAAAAATATTCTTGTGGGCCTATTCCAAAGTAACATACTATAGTCGTAGCAATGGCGCTTGAAAACTAAAAGTAAAGCGAATGACTAAACAAGGAATTATTCCCCCGTGCATGCTTTCATGATACGTATGTCCCTTGCAAGTCCATATAGCTAGTAGAATATCCGTGATTTGAATCCATTCGAGGACGCTGTTCAATTTTTAAATTTCTTGCATCATAAAAGCCAAATAATCTCCATAGGGCCAGAATAAAGACTGCCAGAATTTGGTCAACTGGGCCACGGGCTTCTCCTCATTTGCCTTTAAGTGGGTAGAATATGAAAAATTATTCTACCCTCTCGTTGTTAAGTAATTATAGGTTAAGTAATTATAGCTCTCTCTCTTTGTTAAGTAATTATAGGACATCTATTTAATAATCTTAGATCCTGGCGACAGTACAGTTAATTTTTCATGATTCTTTTACTTCAGAAAAATTTCAGAGTCTTAAAAACTCTAAAAATGGATTTGGATCATAGAAGTCAAAGTTCATGTTTCTTTCCTGATTCAGATTAAATAAATAACTTTTTAATATTTGCTTAACTTCTTTGCAATCGCTGCAGATGAGAATTATTTACGCAAATAATAATAACTAAAACTTCAATTCATAGCAATCTTGCATTCTTTTAAATGGAATGTTCATTTCAGGACAAGCCAAAGGCGAGACGATGCTGGCATCGTAACACTTCATCTCTAGGTCCTCAATGTTACTTACTATGGATTGTTGTCCCTGGTTTGATTTCTGTCCTCTTCATTCGTGAGGGTGAAGCTAGTCACATGAAGAAACTTATCCACCACATGATGATGTCCGCCATGTCTTCAGGAGGCAAGAAACTCATGATGAGTGTAAAAGGTGTACTCGTTCCCATCCCTATTCCTATGCAAGTGTCTTTGCCTTCCCTGCCTTCCATCAGCTTTTCGAAGGGAGGAGACGATAAAGGAGATTCTGGGGGCGGTGGCGGGGGAGGAGATGAGAAGGTTAAAGTAAAATATGTTCCTGTGCCTGTGCCGTAAGTATAATTTCAAATATTTTTTCTCTATAAAAATTGATAATGAGAATTTCAGCTTTGATCCAACATAACACGCACATACGCTATTCCATCCATATACTAAAAACCTACAAAGTTGAACATTTCTTTTTACATAAATTCTAAAAACTTGTTTAGTCATTAGGAATTAAGAAAACAGGCGAATAAATATATTACAATTATTTTATTTCTTACTTTATTTATTTACCATATTTGCCGGCGTATAAGACGCAACTTTTTTTATTTGAAAATAGGTCTGAAAAACGGATGCGTTTTATACGTCGAGTCGACACTTATTGCATCGATACGTCGTTTGTGAATAGGTCAAAGTTTCATGGAATGCTCTGAAAACAGAGACAGTGGTTAAATCATTTAAGAAGTGTGACAATAGTAATGCACTGGATGGTACCGAGGACAGTTTGTTGAATGAGGCTTCAGATGCTGATTTAGAAGAAGTTTCAAGTGACTCTTCATTCAGCTCTGGAGATGAGTGTGTGGGTTTTGACGAAGGAGATTAAAAGGTGTTCTTTCCCAGATAAATCGGATATTTGCAGAGAGTATTATTTTGTATTTGTATTAGTTTATATTGAAAATACTGTAAATTCATTATAATGATCAGTAATAAAGTTTTATCCTTCAAAAATATGTACAAAAACGAGGGTGCGTCTTATACTCTGGCAAATACGGTATTTTATGGTGAACAACTTACTTAAAAAAATGGTATACGTTTTTTAAATACGTAAAGATTGAGCGAACAGGGATTTCTATTAACATTTGAAATTTTACTATTGTTTTTCCCATAAACATCTAATACTTTCTTAGATATATGTTTACATATTCTATTACTAATTTTTATAGGCAGGAAAAGCACTATCATTAGCTTACTATTAACGTTACTATATTGCTAATTTATAAAACCGGAAATTTTTTGTAAAAGAATGAATCGATATTATTCTGGACTTTTCTGTTTAAAGAGAAACAAAGAGTAAAATCTGCTTAAAATGAATATCCGCGGAATTGATTAAATTGATCATTTTCCTGGTTAAAACAATTTTACTTGAAATTTTCGCGATAAATACAGTAATTATTTACATAATTTGTGAGATTATGTAAATTATTAATTATTTACATAATTATTACACTAATTATTTACATAATTAGTAAAATTATTAGTGAGAATTAGTGAGATTAATTAAGCACTATCGTTAACTTACATTTTAAAGTACTAATGTATAAAAATGAAGCTTTCCTAGAAATCTAAACTTTTCCTTTAAAGTAGCGTGAAACCTGCTTTAAGAGACCAATCATCGGAATAACAAAATTTATCATTTTACCTCATTAATAAATACAGCAACAAATTTATTTGAAATTATTACGATAGACAGAATATATTTTGTCAACTAAAATATATAATAAATAAATAAAGTGGAAATAGAAAAATAATTTGGAAGATTTTGCATACTCTGGTATTCTGCAGTGTTTGTTTTCTCACAGTATTGACTGAAGTCATGGACACATTTTTAAATGTTCATTTTTGCAACTTAGCATGAAAATATTTATATATGGCAACAAGAGGAAACTTAAATCCAGTTTAACATACAAAACTTTAAATATATGTAATTACCAAAACCATTATCGTTTAACTGAGCACAAGTAAAATCGAATGAAGTAGCCAATTGAAACTGCACATGTTCACCATCGTAGTCCTCGATCTGAAAGCGAATCAGATGGTATTATATGAAATGAACTATTTAGTTGATGAAAGTCAGTTTTCCTGTTTATTCTGTAGTAAACAAATGATTTAAAAGTCCGTTTATTTATATTATATTTTGGTAGCGAATATTTATTAAATTTATTAGGATAACTTCGCATTTTTTAAATTTTATTTATCGATGTTAGTGAAACACATTTGGAGATATGCGACTACTATTAAATAGTTATGTAAAATGTTTAGATTTATTAGACAGAAATCCTACAAAATTACTCGGCCCTTGTTGGGAAACGAAAGACCATTTTCTGGTTTGAACCAACTCCCCGTTAGAAGACCTTTGAGTTGCTAACCGTCTATGCTGACTAGCGCTTCAAGATAAGTGAGAGGCAAGCCCATGTATCTTTATAATATTTTTTACATTCTCTCTAAAAGAAAGGGCTACTAAGGGAAGAAGCGAGACCTAAACTTGACCAGCTTGGTGATAGGTGATGATGAGTTATCGTCAGCTGTCGATGTCACCGCAATCGGAAATTATTAGACTTCCTGGAGATCGAAATCCTAGCAAGTGGAGGGGGGGAAGACTGCGCTCTGACGAAAACTAAACCGATACCTTCTAATTCATAACTGGCCATCCAGTTCATTAAATTACAAAGATTGATAACCTTTAAATCCTTTGTATCCACATTTAAAGTATGGGAAAATAGGGCTACAGAACTAGAGAAATAGTTTACTGTACACCTACAAATAAACATGATCGATGTAATACGCTAAACTGATACTTTCTTGTGCCGATTTAATGAAACTAGATAGAAAAAGAACTTAGTACACGAATGAAAACTTTAAGTTATTTAGAAACAAAATCACTAAGAAACAAAACAGTCAGCAGCTTACTCATTCGCTATTGGTTTCACCAGAAATAAAGAGGCAGACACAGCTGGTAATTGAGTCCTGGATTCAACTCGATTTGGCAAAGTGATGCAGCTTTATGAGAATTTTAGCTACTTCCTTTATGACAATCATTAATTAGTGTCTCTTCAAAATTCCCCTTTGATACATGTATCAGTCAAAACAAGTACGCTGTCATGAATAAGAAGTCAGCTTAAATGTTTTTGAATTTAGATACTATATGCTGTAATGCCCGTAGTCCAATGAAAGGGGAGGAAATAGCTTGGCGTGAGAAATAATTAGTCCGACGGACCAGTCACTGGTCATCGCCGATTGGTTTGTTGGATGGAAGTAATTAAAAAAAGAAGAAGAAAAGAGAAACGAAAAAGGAAAATGACGACAAGGGGACATTTGGCCCTGGATTGTTGGAGGGAATGGTCAGATTTTTGTCTGGAGGACCGTCGCCATTTTTTTTATGAAGGGAATGTTTTCTTGTCCGACGGGGAAGAGCTGGACTTATATCCCAAATGATTGTAACCTATGTTGTTATCTAATCAAGTTGTTTATTTCATTATTAAGATTTCTTATTAAAAAAATAAAAGGTGTCGTCTATGCGTCGATTGAAGGAACCATATGTGAAAAACGAACGCTACGCTACAGGAAGGAATATGACAATTCACTTCCCATCTATCCGACAACCAAGGAGCATCTATCAACTCATATAGGCTTTATTTTTTTCTTTTAGCCCACAAGTGTAAAAAATAATGAAAAAGGCTAACTCGTTTCAAAAGTAGGAAAATCTTTCCTTTTTATTCAGTATAACAATAAGTGCTTTCTTTCAAATTCTATGATTTCTAAACTATGTAACGTGACGTTTGAAGGAACAAAATGCAGTGTCATAGTGAAAATCTTAAAAGGCTTAACTTAAACTCTGTTAAACAAAATTACTGAAAATTGCCGCATTCATATTTTTGTCTAAAAAGTTGGCAAACAGACTGTTTTATAATCTATGAAAATTTCAAAACGTTACAAATATAGATTTTTCTTCTACAGAAATCTAATTGAAGGAAAAAAATTTATAGATTTTGAAAAAGTCGTCAAAATCATTAAATTAAATAAACTTCATTTGAAAAATTGATTTTCGATCTATTTGATGGTGCAGATAATGAAATTCTGAGATAATTAGCTGTATCACTAAACAAGAATGTGTGGAATATCGGGAAAATTCCGTATAATTCGCTTGTACGTTAAATATAAAAACTGAAAAGAATCTTGAATAAACTGCTGTTGGAATAATATATTGTTATCGCAACTTCGTGCATATGCAAAATGCCAGGAAAATCGTCTCAGTAGAAATAGCTCAAAAACTAATTTCAATATTTCACCTAGACAAACTAATAGAGGAAACATCCTGAATATAACTGAATCAAATGGTTTTAGTAATGCTCTGAATCTCACCTTTGGAGCTCTTCAAGCGATATCTTTGATATGTGGTGGAATACACTAAATACACACATGTCCATAAATTAAGGATAATTCGGAGTCACGCGGAAATCGAACTCTAAAATAAATATATCACCTGTAAAATCACTACACACATCTTCAAGAATCATACGCAAATTTCAGGAAGTAAGCAGATGACCTCGATGGTACGTCACAATGACGAGAGTGTAGAGAGTAAGAGAGTGATATATAAGGAATACAGGCAAAGAAGTAAAATTGTTCGCAGGCGCTTTATAAGCATTTCAGTGCAATAACCGAATAGTTATGACACAAAGGACGCATTTGGATGATTTTTTACGTGGTAGAATTATCGGCCGTTGGAAGTGTGAGTGTACCCAACTGGAAGTATCAGACGAACTTGGAATTGTCAGAGTATCATCTCCCAGGCTTTGGCAACGATTCCAAGATGATGGTAATGTGAGTAGACGTTACAGCACAGGTCGCCCCAGAGTTACAACGCCGAATGAGGACCGGTATTTGGCAGTTACTGTCAAAAGAAACAGGCGGAGCACAGCCTCAGACCTGTCTCGTCAGCTCTCTTCAGCCACTGGTACGACAATTTCAAGGCAGACCGTGTACAGACGCTTAGGGCAGATTGGTCTATATGCTCGTAGACCTGTCAGATACGTTCCACTTACTGCAACTCACTGTCGCCTGCGGTTAGCCTGGAGTAGAGAGCATGCATTGTGGACACCGCAACAGTGGGCTTGTGCGATGTTTTCCGACGAGTCCAGGTTTAGCTTGCAGTCTGATTCTCGCCGGAGTTTCATATGGAGAGCTCCAGGTATCCGTTACCACTAAGAAAACATCATTGAACGACACCGTTACGGTGCTTAAGGAGTGCTCATTTGGGGTGGAATTATTCTGGGTTCCAGAACTGACCTGCATGTTCAAATTGGAACCATGACAACCCAAATCTATCGGGACGTCATTGTGGAACAACATGTACGTTTGTTTCGGGGCGCCATGGGCGCACCATTTGTGTTTATGTATGACAACGCCCGTCCTCACCGTGCAAACATCGTAAGCGAATGCCTTCAATCGGAGGATATCACCCCTACGGGCTCGCCAGCATTCTCACCGGACTTGAATTCAGTAGAGCACGTGTGGGATATGCTTGGCCGACGAGTTGCAGTCCGTCAACCTCCTCCTACATGTCTACCGGAACTTCGGAGAGCATTGCTTTTTAAGTGGTGTAATATCCCCCAAGACTGATCGATAATTTGATACTCAGCATGCCTAGGCGTTGTACGGACTGTATTGCATCGTCTGGGAGACATACAATGTATTAACAAGCATACCAACCATGTAATATTGGTTTTTTGTAAGTAGGTTTTTTTTTTATTGTAATTTGCTCCTGGGAGAAAAAATCGCTAATTTTTTGAATAATATCAAACATATAGCATATTTTTTTTGCTCTTTACCTTTTGTTTAATAAATAAGCTTTACAAATAAGTCATATTTGTTTTGCTTCTAACTCTTCCTTTGCCTGATTTTGCATTATCCTTAATTTATGGACACGAGTGTATATACTGCTAACTGCCATAAATGATCCTCGGTGCGGACAATAGTATAAAGTTATAAAAAACACGCGACAAGAAATCATGAGATAATAAATATTGCTTGTGCAATTACTAGATGCAATTTTGTATACGAATTATTATCCAAATTAACATGAAACTTAAATAGACTAAACTTTATAAAGAAAATTCATGCATGCATATTTTTTTATTTCAGAGTCAAAGGTGGAGGAGGAAAAGGTGGTGGTTGGAGTGGCGGTGGAGGAGGAGGATGGCCCGGTGCCGGTGGAGGAGGATGGCCTAGTGGTGGTGGAGGAGGAGACTGGAACTCCGGAGGTGATTGGAATAGTGGTGGTGGAGGAGACTGGAATGGTGGCGGTGGCGGAGGAGGTTGGAACAGTGGTGGTGGTGGTGGCTGGGAAACCTCTCAAACAGACTGGCATGCACCGAGTTCATCAAGCTGGGCAAAGAGTGGTGGTTCTAGCTGGCCAAGAGGTGATAAAGGAGACAGAGATTATAGTAGCAGAAATAGTGAATATGAGCCAGATTGGGACGATGAATGGAGATGAAATTCTCTTTGAAAAGAGAATAATATTTAATTAAAAAGTAAACAAGTCATGAGTTAATCACATGCGCTGGAGCCATTCGTACTCCTCAGTGGTGAAACAGAAGGAAGCATTCTGTTAATTCACTATGCCAATCGTATCTTGTGGAGAGAGTGATCTTGAAACTGAAATTTAGTTAAACGACTATTATTAATTGCGATACTTTATATGAAAGAGCCATGAAATACGTAACTTTTGGTGATTAGCCCTGAAGTTTAATGTTTGCCATAACAAGTGATTTCAAATGGGCATAATCACGTGCATTGATTTGTAAAATATTTGTGCAGTGTATAAAAGTATTTTCTAATGCAGGCATACTTTCAGATACTGCGAGTTCCACAAAGCGAGTCACATGAAATTTTTATTTTCTCAATGAGCATAAAGCTGTGTTTATCGTATGATATGCGCCTTTTTCCTGTTAAATGTGCAGTGACATTAGGTCTAAAAAGGTACATACTTAAATATAAAGCATTTAAAAGCTTTGTTTAAAAATACTGTTCACTATCTACGCCTTCAAGCTTTGCAGTCTTCTCACTGGTGAAGAATCTCGCTTGATGGCATAGCTACAGGTTAGTGGTTACTGAAAATATGTTTTGCATTTTTTATATTAGGGGGAAGGCTTTTTTACTAAAATATTACGCCTGAATATTTATCTGATACAAACTTTTTTCCTACATCTTCATTCCCTTCTGTCAGCCTTCATACAACTGAAGAAAGTTTAGAGCTTTGATGGAATTTGTGACTAAAATTTGATCTTCTTTTCAAGCTATTAATAAACGTTGCCTGCATCAACAGTAAAGTTGCTTCGCTTTCTTATAAATCAGTAAATTTTTCCAGTATTTTCGAAACACAGTAACACGAAGCGCAATGAAATGTGGTATGCCTGTATAAGCTTAGTACTTTTTAGTACATGTAAAATAGTTTTTTTTAAATATTTAACTATTATAAAAATAAAAGAACTTAAGATGTTATCTATGCAGAATATGTTAATTCTCATGCCATTGGAAAAAAATGCCTACAGCTATTTCCGCTTCTTGAAAACAAATTTTTCATAATTTATGCTCGTAGATCTTACATTTCATAGACTGGCTATAGCTAATTTGGGAAATATGAAAGATTTCATGCCCGCCTCCAAAAAAAGCAAAAACTTTCTCTTTTTCTAAGACGCGAGTTGTCCGCTCAGTAGTCTACCCGAAATTTTTGCAAAATGAAAACACCCGAAATTTTGCAAAATGAAAACATTAATACCAACTTTCTGCGTTATTAAATACTGCTCATTAAACTGTTTTAATCGTGCATTAATTAAAGTTTCTTCACCTCTGATAAGATAACATTTCAAGGAGGAAATTAACATACAACTGTGTTTGATAAAAAAAAAAAAAAAAAGCAAGAATTTCTTAGTTATAAATAATTCCCGTTACATGCATATTAAATTTAGGAATGTGTTCTTTAATGCTAAGCAAAGTAAATAAGATTTATGTCTGAAGGTCAACGACTTACAATGCATTTGCACTTTGGAATTATTTCAAGTGTGCCATATACCTTTCACCTTGGTATAACGTCACACTTTGATGCATCGCTGAAATTCGCGAAAACATCACATCACGAAATGGTGATATATGGAACATGCTTCCTTAAACTTGTAGTATTTCTCTAACAATCATAGCATCTTTTGCTCGCTCGTTGACCTCAAGCATAAATGTCCGATTAAACATTTTTCGAGACACGCAGAGTAAGATATTAATGCGATGAATTGCACACAAGGAATTTATAATTGCAAATTAGCAAAGATGAGAATATAATTTTATAAAAATTTATACTTAATGAGAAATTCTGAATTTAATAACAATTAAAAATATTTGGACATGGTAAGTTCCTTTCAACAATTAATAAAAAATATTGACAGCTTTTGAAATAAATTGCAAATAAATTGCATTGTTAGGCAAAATTCAATCTTGTGGTGCCATTATTTTATCAAGAAATCATCTATGCTTTGCGATAGAGAGAGATTGCAAGAAACGGGAGGCGCTGTTCTCAAAACAGCAAACGTATTCTACTAGTTATGTAGGAAATAGTTATTTAAATAGGTCAAATAAAAATAAATAAATTTGATAAGTTTGGATTGCTTTGTTAATGGCTAGCATATAAGGATTATTTTTTTAATTGTCTATGAAGAAGGAGGACTTCGTGGAGAGGATTATTTAATTTCAAATGGGAATAACAGTTGCTTGCTAGTAAAATTTCAAGGCCTTAATTGAATTAGATCAGTACATCGATTACTTTAGAAAATATTTCAAGCATTCACAAATGTGGTATGTTACTGGGAGACAAACAGCTCGAACATCGGTAAAGAGTGAATGAATTTCTTTTCCCTGAATCATTTACTTATGTCTTACTAGATGAGACAATTCCCAAAACGTAGAATAATCATTTAAAGTCTTGCTGGGCATAACAGGATTACTAATGCAGAGAATTATAGACTAAATCAATCGAAAAGCGACAGCAGCACATTGCCAAACCACTATCACAGCTATACGAGCTCGATATATGATAGTACTGTAAGTCAAAAGCTACATGCAAAACATGTGCAACACCACATGTTTGTGCCCACTCAGGCCACAGCCTTTCGAGCATAATTAAAGTGACTTCAATCACTCACTTAATCATTTTCAGGGCTTAATTTTTAAAATTAGAAGTGCCGGAGCCCTGTGGAAAACCATCAGCAAATAGGAACAAAAATTAATTAATTAATTAATTAACTAATTTAAAATCATTTATAAAATAAAAATTAAATAGTTGATTATAACCAAATTAATTATTTAATTAGTATTAATAATTTACAATTTTCAATTATTATTTAATTAATAATTAGTATTTAATTTAAAAAATAATTAATTAAACATTAAAGAAATTAAATAATTAAAATTAAAATTAAATAAAATATAAAGAGATAAATTGAAATTTAATAAGCGATTTGTAATATCATTTTATTGCAAAAAATAAAAATTTTCGAGATCAAATTTCTGCTGAAATTGTTGTTCAGTTACATAAAAGGAGCGCCGGAGCCTTCTTATTTAGGGCTCCGGCTAGAATTATAATTTATCCCAAAAACTAAGAAGTACCGGATCCGGACTCCTGTGGGCTCCGGCGCACTTGTTAACTAATATTTTTTTACATTTACTCTAAATTTGGCCTGTAAATATATTTTCATCTGAAGAGAAAAAGAAATTTGCAATTAGTCATGTAACGCCATGGAAATTCATGTCTTTATTCGAGGCAGTGTGATGGCATGTTTTGAATTTTGATTTCGATGCAGCTCCAAAAAGTCACAAATAACCCATTGACAATACAAAAGTAAGTGAGACTTTGTGCTGCCCGTGTAGATATATATTTTCTTTCGGGATATGAAAGTGCTGTTTCACATAGAATCGTACCGGTCACGGAACCGATAAAACCGGAACACGGAGATTTACATTGAATCCGGAGTTTCGGGCTCGAAACTGGATACGTGACAACTGGAGCCATACAATTTGCATCAGTTCTAGCGTTTGTTGTGTGTTCATATGAGAATATATTGCGCTGGAATGTAACCAAGATATTAATCTTGGTTGGATTCGACTCTTTTTATGAATATCATACAAAAGCTCGGCTGATACCCTTGGTAACAAAATGTAGCCTGCTGCTTGTTAAGTGAAACATTTATTCTTGTAGACATTTCCTGCTCATTTTGAATCTATATATGAACAAAATTTTTCCATCACCCAGGGTATTTATGTAATAGGAAGAAGCAGAAAAATTTTTAAGATAAAAGTATGGGTGAAAAATTCATATTACAAGGGAAAAAATGTGGATGACTGGGGGGGGGAGGTTTGAGGAACTGATTTCATATTTGTAATCATCTTATAAAAGTGGATAAGAATGAATATAAGTTGTACATTTAGTAAAAACCTTGTTGACTTTGCTCTAAAAACCATTGTGTATTTAGCCAGGCTTTAGAATCCAGTGTGTAGTTAGAAGAAGTTAAGAAGCGGAAAAAGGAAGAAGCTGCGTTTTGTTTTACGAAGAGGCTGTTTTCCGCAAAGAAAGTGAACTCGTGCCTTTTGTATCTTGCTAAAACCTTAGTAAAGGACAAAAGTGTGAATGGAAACCGCCTTTATATTATTTGATAGAAACAAATGCTATATCCCCAGTGGCGCAACTGGTTAGCGCGCGGTACTTATACAATAGTACAAGCGAGATATGCCGAGGTTGTGAGCTCGATCCTCACCTGGGGAAGGTTTGTTTTGCTCAGTGTGTGCATTTCATTCTTTTCCAGGTATCATTAAATAAGAATGCAATTATATCTTAGAATTAAAAAATGTAACTTAAAAATTATATCTTAGAATTTTACAAAGGTAGTCTTTTGTTATATTTTTACTTTTATTCCCGAGAGACATCATAGCAATACATTTTTCTTCATATATAATTTAATTCAAAATGTCTTGTATAATCTGAATATTTTCTAATTACGACGTTAAACAGAAATATTTATATTAAATTTTATATAGTCTACACTAATTATTAATATTTTTTATTATTTCAATCATAAGACTTAATATTTTAAATATGATGTTATTCATTCTTTTTAATAATATAAGAATCCAAAGATTCTGGAATCGACATTTCTAACGTCAAACTAAACATGTGTTTAACTTATTTCTGTTTAACTGACTTTTCGAAAGTCTCACATATATTTTGCTTTTTGCTCAATATATGAGCTGATATAGTATTAATTGAATGGGATTTCATTAATGTCAAGTGTGGAATGGAAATTGCGTCATTTTGCCGCTCGAAATATGCAGATGTATAGTTAAAAAACCTCATGTAATTGAAACGAAGAAGTAAACTATGACCCCTGTAAAGCCATTTCTAATTTTCTCATCATTTACATGTTCTTTAACATAAGCAAGTGATCGCAATACATTAGTGTGCAAATCTGTTAACAACGCAGACTTTGTCTTGAAGATGTACATAAGTACTTTCATTGATGAGCCATTTCAATTAAAATCTGCAGTTGCTATACACTTGCTATGAACGTTTCCGTTTCGGTGAAATAGAGATTTTTAGCATTCGAGGTAGTGCAAGAAGAGCTCCTAAGTGCTACTATCTCCGCCACCAGAAAAATTGAACACTTTTTTTTTTTTTTTTTTCAATTATAGATACATTTTGTTCCTTTTATGCTGCAAATTTTAAAAAGGTTTTAAAATGAAAATTTTAAAGCTTATGTTACTCTCAATTTATTACAAAATAATTATTCTCAAAAATGATGTTGTTACAAATTTCGTACATATGTTCATACGAGTTCCTCTTAATTTTAGTGGAATTATATGTGAAATTGTAGTATTCCTTTTTTATAATGCAGCATGAAAATCTAAAGAAGCGAAGCTCTGGCAGAGAATTAATAATAAGTCTAGTATTTAACATTGAGTAAATGGTTATCTCGCTAAATTGGCGAGATATCGCCAAGCTGTTGACTGTTTTGACAACTAATTTTTAATCGTCAAATTTGACGAGAAATTGCCAAAATGCGTAAAGTTTGGTGACATTTTGGTCCGATGTCTGTATAACTGTAATGGATATTGTAATTGAATGACTGCAATTGATACTATATGTCAGAAGTGGCCAAATTCCACTATGATAGAAACCGCATGGTAAATTTCGTGAAACCTCGAGAGCTGCAGCTGCATTTTCCGAGTCGCAAATCCATATTTATAACATTTAAAAAATTAAGAAACATTTCGAGTAAATTAATGAGAATTTCGCATTTTTGTGTAATTAATATAGTTTCATAAAAATGCGGAACTTTATTTATCCTGCTTTGCAATCAAAAACATATATCCCAACAAATTATAAATTTGAACCTACTATACCGTTCATTTGAACGTTATTTTTTCAGGTAAAAAACAAGCATTTTGTTTTTGTTTCCTTTATTCC